GCCCAGCTCCCTCAGCCTGGCTTTGCAGGGAGCTGCTGCAGCCCCTGATCTTGATGCAGCAGGAGGTGGCGCAAACCCAGCCAGGTGGGATGGGAGCAGAGCTCAGAGGGCAAGCTCTGTGCAATCAGCAGCACTAATCATAATGAGCAGTGAATGGTGCTCACTGAGGTCCTTCTACCTGGTCTCTCTCCTTTTGCAGGAGAGGACAAAAGCTGCACAAGGAAGGGCTGCCTGCACACCCAGCTGTGTCACCGATGGCACCGATGATGGCACTGATGGCACCGCAAACACACACTGCCGTCCCACAGACACCAAACAGCTCCACACAGAGAAACCCAACGCCGACTGCCGGCACAGCAGAGCTGGAAACCCGGAGTGGTGTTCAGAGGAGAGCCCCACTCTTATGGTGAAGGCACGGCCCAACCGTCAGCCGTACCTGGAACTCCAGCATGGATTTCCCCTTGTTGGACTCCAGCATGAAGCGGAAGGCGCCGATGCCGGTGTTGGGGTTATCAGCCTCCTCCCGGTTGCCCTGCAAAAGAGGAGAGCTGAGCTGTAAGGAACGGCAGGCACACAAGGCAGCGCCCCCAGTGCCACAACGATCCGTGAGCTGCAGAGCTGCCTGCAGATCTGCTGAGTGCAGGGCAGCGAAACACAGCGCCTGCAAACAAAGCCGGCAGCAGGCAGAGGGAGAATGGGGAGGTTTTAACGCCGGGAGGCAGCAGGAGGATCTCACACCTCAGCAGGAGGCTCCCTGCAGGTCAGGGCTTCCCTAAGAAGAAAGGCTGAGGGAAGCGGGTCTGTTCAGCCTCGAGGAGGCCGAGAGGGGACCTGAGCCAGGTCTGTAAATATGGAGGTGTGGGGCAGAGCGGTGAGGCCGGGCTCCTTTCAGCAGTGTTGGAGACAGGACGAGGGGAACGGCCAGCAACTGCAGCGCAGCAAGTCCTGCACAAACGTGCAAAGAACTGCTTTGGTGAGGTGGCGGAGCGCTGGCGCAGCTGCCCAGGGGCTGCTGGAGTCTCCTTCTCTGCAGATGCTCCAGACCCGCCTGCACACCGACCTGTGCGACCTGCTGCAGGAACTGCTTTGGCAGGGGGTTGGACTCCGAGATCTCTGCAGCTCCCTTCCAACCCCGGTGATTCTGCGATGCCACCGTGCAGAGCCTTACGTTAAAGGATGCCAGGGCCTCCGAAACGCTCTTCTCGATGAACTCGTCTGTGATCCTCCGTGAGGGATGCTCGTTAAACACGGAGTTCATTAGCGCGATCTTAGCGGCGCTCCTCCGCGCTTCGGCCTTGGTGGGACAGAACTGAGGGGAGAAAAGTGCTGTCAGAACAGCAGGGCTGCAGCCCCACAGCACCACCAGGACAGCACCTTCCATCCTTCCATCCCACAGAGCCCTTCCATCCATCTGTCCTTCCGTCTGTCCATCCATCCATCCATCCATCCATCCGTCCATCCATCCATCCGTCTGTCCATCTGTCCGTCCATCCATCATCCTTCCGTCCCACAGAGCCCTTCCATCCATCCATCCATCCATCCATCCATCCATCCATCCATCCATCCATCC